CAGTTTCTTTTTTTCTCTCCTTTTTTCTGTGTATTGCGGCACAGTAGCTGAGGTGCTCCCCATTTCTAGCTAACGTGTATGATGATGATGATGATGATGACTCTCTAGCTGTGGTCCAAAGGACGATGAACACGTTTGGTTGGACACACTTGCTGATTTGGCCAAAAGTTGGCCCCAATGACGTTTGTTCATTTTCCTTCCGTTTAGATTCCCTCTCCAATTAGTATCTTACCTTTTCGTATTGCGGCACATTAGCTGAGGTGTGTTTCTTACCCTCAGCTAACGTGTGTTTATGCTGATGATGATACTTCTATCCACCCTGCTTGATGCAGCAGATAGGCTGCCGTTGCTTATCCTCTGCGACGGTCAGATCATAAAGCAGTTCAGTGGAGAGGTCACAGAGTTGTATTGCGCGAGCAGGATACTGTCAGGTTCCCCCAGGCCTAGTCAGGAGAGCGATATGGGTTCTCAACCAAAGCGTGGTTGTAGAACTGGGCTACAGCGAGTTCGTTTTATGGAGGAAGCAGCCACCCTCACTCCAGCCCCCAACCTGGAAAATGGGTTTGTCTGGCCTCTAACCATTGACCACTCTGGTATGAGTGACCCTGAAAGTGCAGAAAGCACCATCCCCCATAGCCCATTGAATCGCTGAGGCACGAAAACAATCGCACCACGTTAATTTCCAGTCTTGTTACGATGGAGAGAGATAGTTGATATGCAGCTTGAACAGTTTGGGTCTAAGGGCAGATCTCTGTAGAACACCGCTGGTCATGAACACCGGTTTGCAAAGCATTTCGTTCACTTGCATGGTCCTACCTTCCATAAAGTCGGCAATTCACGAGTGAAGACTACTACTAACGCCTATTTTCACACGCTCTGGGACTTCCTCAAATGTTTTAATAAAATTAACGTAAATCACGTATATGCGTTGTCTGGCATCATTCGACATTGCCCGCTTTTCTCTCGCCACTAACAAAATAGTGGAGTAGAAACGTCGCTTTTGGAGACCATGCTGAGCAAAGGAAGTAGTTATTTTCTTCACAGTGCTTCTGTATAACGCGTTTGATGGTCCTTTTCATGACCTTACAGATGATGGATGTCAAGCAGATTTGGCGATAGTTCAGTTCGGTTGATCAACTATGATCCGAGCACCGAAATGCAGTGGATCCAGTTGCAACTACTCACATCGCAATAATGACAGTAACTAACACCAGCAAATAGTATGTAAAGAAAATGGCAGCAAGAAGGAAGTGCGTTAAAGTAATCAGAATTGGACAACTATTAATACCCGAATGCAAGTACACCTATGACTGCTTGACTGCGCCATGTCAGATGCGCTCTCCAACCATTGGTGTGGACCATCCCGAGAAATACTGTAATTCCTGTACATCATCAACAAAAGCACGGCCCCTGAATTTGAAGAGGGATGCATGAAGATTATTTGGTCCCGCGACTTTATTCAACTTCAACAGTCCAATCTCAAACTCGACTTCTGAGCGAGAGGGCGGATCCAAACTAGCAGGGCGATCACTGGCCGGCGAGGAATCTAACAATCCCGGCCGATTAAGTTGCTTTTCAAAATGCGTTTTGACAAGTTGTGGATATGCTGTCCACTATCGTCACTTATAGTTTTACTAACACCAGGTCTCCTGTATCAGACGGAATAACTTCCGATGGTTATCAAGGGTAGTGGCCACTTCCATCTCTGACGCACGATGAGACCATCAGAATTCGCGGTCTCTCTTTAAGCTAGCATGGAGTTTTACCCTGTTGTCTTGGCGAGTCTCGTTGTGTACGCTTCCAGCCAGAATGTACCGACAAGCATCGATAAGTTCCAAAGACTGCGAAGAGAATGACTATTTTGGCAAGTTGATTTGTCTGCTTCTAGTAAAGTCTGGTGAACATGCAAACAGTGTCCTCCATCCAGTGAGCGCTTGCTCAACCCGAACGCAGCGTACTTCGATATGCATTCAGAACACCTGGTTTCGCCAGTTGGCTGGTGCCTGTGCGCTCACAGAGTTGTCGAGGTGACCACTAAAATGCATCCACAGATCAGCACATACAACTGCATGGTCAGTGTCCACACGTGTGTTCCAAATCGAGCGACAGTTTTAGACGCAACCCCTCCAGCGATAACTGATCGCAATGTAATCGATTTGCATCCAGGACTAGTTCGAGGCTGATGGGCGCCATGTCATCTTCCGACGGGTGCTGTGTCGGAAGTTAGTGCTCGCAAGAAATAAGCGAGCATCTTCACACAAATGTAGTAACCGCTCACCGTTATCATTGCGGAAGCCTACACCATGTTGACCGTCCAGATGCATATCATCAGTGGACACTTTCCCAACTTGAGCGTTCAGATCTCCAGAAAGCACTACAGTCTCCGTGCTTCCTCTGTGGCGAAGGAGCTCATTCAGTTGACGATAGATGTCGTCTTTGACTTAGTCATCACTACGGTTTGTGGGGACGTAGACAGCGATGACAAACAGACACCTATTACCCCTGCGCGACTTCTAACTAGTCAACCAGTTGGACCGCGCACATCCGGCTACTGATTGAGATCCAAGCAACCAAAGCAGGTTCAGCCACGGGACTCAGGGCAACTCCAACACCGACTTGACCGGTACTCGTAGGTGCATCGTCTCCGGATAAGCGCAATGAGCAGGCACTGCTAGTGCCACCTGTAGGAGATCGCAGAGCGCGAACAGAGCTAGGGTCTTGTATGCAGGTTTCCGATCGGCTGACATCGACCGAGAGGTTCTCTAATGTTCAAGCAAGTGATGCCTGTTGATCAATCTGTAACAATGTGCGTTCCTTGACATGCCAATCTGAGTTAACATCGGGGGCTCCAACTGAGCTTGACCGCTTGGTTAGACATGAGCTTGTCGATAGGACAAGAGTGACGCTCCGCTTTTGTGTGTGAGTTGAAACTAGGAGCTAAGCACCTATCAAAACATGATGGGGGAGGGCCAAGAATTGGGCACTTGAAAACGGGGGAATAAAAGTGCAGTGGTTGAATGCAAATAGAAAGTAACTCAAGTGGAGGCGAGGAGGAGCGTTAGACTAATCTGAATGCAATAACAATTAACAACCAGGTGTAAGAGACCGAATACAGGAACGCCACTGACTTCGCCATGTCTGATACGGTCTCCAGCCATTGTTGCGGACCATCCAGAGGGCCCCCATCCAGGAAGACGGCACGCACCAGCCTGACCAAGTTTCAGTCGAATTTTTCATGCCTCTGTAGCGCATTATGAATGATGGCCTTCTCATTTTCGGTCATCTTAGTTACTTCGCCCTACATACATAGTCATCCGCATGGTATCCACAACATTCTGAAGTGGCCTTCATCCAGACTCTTCGCCGAAAAACTGTGGTTCGCTACATCTTTTGCTATATTCCCACCGCCTCTACGTGCAGTTACTTTGCTCATGAAAGTTGACTTCTCTACTTATCGCGCCTTACTCGCTTTCTATCTTTTTCATTGGGATTTATCCAAATATGGCAGGTTTATGATTCGCTGGCTAAGGGCACGTTCATTACCTTGAAATCCGAAAGAGCAGCCGCTTTTGTCCAGTCACGAAACCACCATTAGCTCATTCCTTTCTGATTAGCCTTCCATTTTTTCATGCGCTCTTTTTTGGCTCTATCGGTCGCTATTTCTGCCAAATTTGTCACTTCACGTCCCGTGTTTAGACTGCATTAGTTTGCTTCGAAATACTTACTTGTTTGGAAATTCGTTCCACGGGACATTTTATGAGTGAATACTTCTTACATTTGGATGTGAAGAGTTGAATTAGGCACCACATACTTAGGACCTGTAGCCAGGGATTCGAAGTATGCAGTCTAGATAATTCTTTCCTTTTTTCGCATAGAATCTGTGCGAATGATTTGAAAGCGAATTGCCGCGCTGCCCGGTGACTTCTGCTTTTCCGAACCAAACGCCCAATCTTCTCACTAACTGGATATAGCTGTGCTTGATACTACCTCATCACTTCGCGGGGTGGAGGTTCAGTCTGCGATTATTGCGGCATGCTGTACTTTTGTCGAAGTACAAAGCGATCGTACAAGATGAGTACACTTTCGGAACTCTTAAGGATTCTTGCCCCTTTCTGTCTTCCATTTCTGCTTACCATGAAGCTTCACCAAACAGACTCCGTTGTTTGATTGCATTTGCCAAGTGATTCTAGTGTTAACGCCCACGCGGATTGTTCACTACTTCTCGCTGAGTCAGTAAATCACCATAGCTTAGTTAGGCTTTCGGTGGCTTTTCTTTCTGACATTTAACAAGGCTGGTCTATATCTGAATTTTCTTTGATGTGGACCTGGAACTCTTCATGAACTGTGGTTTTTTTGAAAATTCGCTCTACTTGTGAGGCCGTCTGATGTCTATCCGAGATACCATTTCCAAACGAAGTGTTGTATAAGTAGATTTCTGACACTGCAGTCTTACTGTTTTTGTGATCAGCTCACACCTAACTAGTTGGTATCAATTTTACCTGAACTGTGCTAGCACGCTCTCAGGTCAATCAACCATTCGATATCCGGTTTCATACCAACTGATGAGTTTACATCACTCGTTCTATTACGCAGTGAGTAAACGATGCCATCTAGCCGCCACATTCTAAATTCTACGATGTCATTATTGTGATATGAACTTTCCTACTGCGCTTTACTTGCTCCTACTCAGATTGCTACTGGTAGCTTGTTTAGGGTGTTTTGCTGGGTTATGTGTAGACAAGGAACAGTGTGGCTCACATAACGTTTACCTCAGCGACGATTCCTTCTCTCTACATGGTCGCGAGCTGTTTGAGACCACACGACATTGGAGATACGTAGGTACACAAACCGCTGTGTCTTTCCTTCATTCTTCCTGTTCCCTAGAGTTATCCCGCCTTGTCTATAATTGTTTGGCAGCAAAACACTAGTACGAGCTATTTATGTGTTGTTGGCAGAGCCTCATAGGAAGTATCCTCTGATCTCCATTTCTTTCTCGTCAGCTGCTTACCCGTGTGTTCACCCAAATGGGTGCCCAGAATCCAGAGCTCGTCTCTGATCAGAAACGACGATTGGTGATGGCCCCACCTCAGATGGCTCGAGTCGGTACGAAAAAGACTATGTTTGTCAACTTCACTGCCATTTGTCGCTCGTTGAATCGAGAGCAGTCTCATTTGACAGCTTACATAGTGGCAGAATTGGGCACCCAAGGATCCGTCGACGCCAATGGGGCCCTACTCATCCGTGGACGATACACCAATAAACACATGGAACCCGTTTTGCGAAACTACTGCCGTAAGCGCCCATACATTATGGTTTGTTCGTATCTTTGTGTCTTGGTTGCGCTTGGTTCTTACTTATGTGAAAGCTGCACATGGCCTAATACCTCGCTGCCACTTTATTAATTCATTTCTCAAGTCTATGAACAATGTGTCTTTACCACTGAACACACGCTCAAATGCCGATGTTCTGTCTATCTTCCGATGCATGTCGCTCTATACGTCCGTCCCTGTTGCAACAAGATGGCCTTAACGTGGAGCCATGCGATTTGGCTGTTAGGCCTAGGGGTTTGACGACCATAATCGCTTTGCCTGCGTTTAAGTACCCTGACAATATTACAGGTCATAAGCAAACACAACTATTATGTATAAGTTCAAGTTCCTTCTTACTAGGCACACGATGACGTGGAAGAAGCTTTACGCCAGAACTATAAATGCTTTTCAAGGCGCTCAGTACAACATCCTCAATTTCGAATTTGGACAGAAATGAGGACATAGGCCACCCATGTCGCACTTCACCAGTGATATCGAAGGGTGATGAGAATGCCTTAAACCTGTCCGAGACACTGAACTACAGTGCTCGATGGTTATGATATACTATAAAAAGCCACATATGTCCGTTTAACAACACTGTGACGTGGCGGATGTGACTCGCCACTAAATAAAGTCACTGCCCCTTGCTTCATCCTGGCGAAGCATTGTATTCCAGAAAATTTATGCTGTAATTCTGGGGAGCATTGGGCCCCTGTTTGACAAAGGAACAAACGAAAGGCGTATGAACTGAGCAACCAGTCACCGGCTCCCAATGGGCGCGATTCCCTGAATTCGCTCCGCTGCCTTGCGGGCAAGCTATTCAGCTAAAGGCTCGGGGTGGTGTCCCCTAAGTCAACACCCTACTTCGGCTTAGGCAACCGGGTAGTATCTCGCTCTCTGACGAAACCATGGACTTTGATGTGTTGTGTTGTGTTTTCTTTTACCCTTTCTGTACCTTGTTTTGAGTCCCATGGTTTCTGATGGCTCTTGTCTATTTGTAGACTATTGCCATATATATATATATATATATATATATATATATATATATATATATATCCGGTTTCGGATTTGCCTGTCACTGTGGCCAGCCACAGGATGCCTGTGGCTACAGACGGACCATGGGTGGCTTGCGCTGCACCACCCACAGCTCCAACCATACACCCCATATCCAGTGTAAACCCGAAGGAATAAGACCGGGAGGCATGTGGATGGGAGCCACGTTCCATCAACGAAGCCGGCCCACACTCCTTCACAGGCAAACACAAGCACGCTGTATTTGGGGAATCAACCGCACACAAGGCGGTGGCTGGACCGTAGTCCGCTCCACACTGAGTGCATGGAACCGCCATTCCGGCATAGCACGCCTAAAAGGACCGTGCACACCGTCCCCTCCAGCAACGACCAACTGTCTCCTAGAGCTAGTATGAACGATGTAGTGGGTAATAGACAGGTAGGCACCTTGTCAAGATGCGCATCAAGTGCAGCCACACCGGGGTATCAAGCAACAGCCAATCACTTGAGAGAAAGCTAACAAAGAAAAGAAATCGAGTAATGCATAAGGAAACGTGACAAAAATCTTAACTTGATGAGCATGGGAAATAAGTTGTTAACAAAGGATCCGAGATAAGTTCACGAGGTCAGAAAGTATATTTTACGGAGATGACAAACTCGAAAATGTATCGAAATTAACTACAATTGGCTTAAGCGAGCTGTGCATGTTTATAGAAGAGCGTACAGGTGGACATTTATTTGAGAAAGAAAAGCATTAGGACAAAATTGAACACCACCACCTGAAATAAAGAGACTTAGCATGCAAGTACGCGGTTAGTAAATCAAATGCAACGTACCTACAAACGCTGCGCGGGTTCTGACTACGTTCTCGGCAGGACCCGTCGTCGCTTCGGTAGTGGTCCCGAGTGGCCTCGCTCATGGCTCACTAAGCCTGCCTGACTCAGGCACTCGCGATCCCATGTGCTACAGCACCATGCGCTCGATGTCGATGGAGTACAACCCATCGGCGCTTGCCGCTTCCGCACTTGCCGCTTCTTCTCTGCATGCATGACGCGTTTCTCCTGCACCTCGGCAACTGCCTTCGTGATCAGATCGCGCCATGCACGCCGATCAACCGCCTACGATTCCCATGATCTGCAATCAAGATTAGAACGTGAGATGCTCACTTCAACCATGCCCTGGTAACGTAACTTTGGTTTCCCCACGTGCCGCTTCCCTATACTCAGCTGACCATATAAGAGTTGTTTCGGTATCCGCGTTGAATCCATACAGCTCTAATGACCGATCCACCTCAGGTGTCTCAGCAAAATTATGCAGTCCACTACATACATTTCACTTTGTCGCAACACTCCCGTGTCTGCAACTGTCGCCCCAACCGATGCGCAAGATCCGTCGCAAACACTGCTGATGGAACCGCTCGAGATATCTGACATCACACCGGTACATCGTCCACGTTTCACTGCTGTATAGAAGAACGGAGAGCACCATGGATTATATATATATATATATATATATATATGTGCCCCATGCTGAGGCTGATGTTGCATTCTTGATGCTTCTTCACCGCAGTTGGGTTAACCAACTTACACTTAAACTAGGTCTTTTTAAGCTGGCTAAATTTCATTCCGCTTTATTTGGTTTGTTCTGCCTCCCTGAATAATGTTCTATTAACTGGCCACGTTGCTTCCGCAAATTGCGCTTATCTTCGGTAATTTTGTTGCGTTTGTAGCATTTTAAGTAACTTGTGGACATTTCTTACTTATCACAGATTTGTTGCTGACCAACTTACTTCATATGGTAATTTAGGGAAGAGTTATGCCACCGTATCTGTATGCATTCTTGGATTTATTTTATTTCAGCTTGTCGTTTAAATTGAATGGCTGTTGTTTGATATCCCTGGTATGGTTGCGCTTGATGTGTATGTTGACAAGGTGCCTACCTGTCTATTACCCACTACATCGTTCATACTAGCTCTAGGAGACAGTTGGTCGTTGCTGGAGGGGGCGGTGTGCACGGTCCTTTTAGGCGTGCTATGCCGGAATGGCGGTTCCATGCACTCAGTGTGGAGCGGACTACGGTCCAGCCACCGCCTTGTGTGCGGTTGATTCCCCAAATACAGCGTACTTGTGTTTGCCTGTGAAGGAGTGTGGGCCGGCTCCGTTGATGGAACGTGGCTCCCATCCGCATGCCTCCCGGTCTTATTCCTTCGGGTTTACGCTGGATATAGGGTGTGTGCTTGGTGCTGTGGGTGGTGCAGCGCAAGCCATCCATGGTCCCTCTAGGCGCAGGCGTCCTGTGGCTGGCCACAGTGACAGGCAAATCCGAAACCGAATGCCGCCAACCATATATATGTATAAATATATACCATAATCTTTGTACAGGTAGCATGCCATCGGAAACATGCGGATTAGGAAAACTGGATTAAAATAAAGGAAGAAAGCTAACAAGCAATTTTTGTCCATTTTCCCATTCGCCGTTTTTACTGTTTTTTTATTGGGGGAGAGAAGGGGACCATTGTAACAAGCAGAGTTACACGACCGCCACTGAGTTCGGTTTTGAGCCATGACTTCCAATGTTTCCAACCAGCGGCGCTCAGCATCTTTGCGACCCCATCCAGGGTGTCGAAAAAAATCAACCGCGGCCAGCTGTTTTGTCAGCTGCTACTCCAAGTGGTAGGCTGTGCACCACACCCTCTCCTCCAGCCCTGTCCAGCGACCGCGAACAAGGAACGACGCGGAAGACGCTGAACTGGTATACGCCGTACGTGTCCAAGCCATCATAGTTGGTGCAAGCAGACAAGCGCCTCGAGAGAGTGGCTGCATCCACCCAAGATACGCCGTCTGACTTCGATGTTGGTTATGTAGTGTAGCCACCACACAGGGAAGATGGACCACAATCAACGGTTCTCGAAGACAGACAGTCGACGTAGGTCATCGGTACGAGCAGGGCAAGTCTCGCAACCGTACAACATTACAGCGCGGACGGTAGCACTATAAACCCGTCCTTTGATGGAGAGACGGATGTCATGGCGGCGCCATAAACGCCCCAGCCTGGAGAAAGCGAAACGATCTTTTGAGATACGCATCAAAATCTCCTTTCCAACATCCCCACCAGCAGTGATGCAGCTTCCAAGGTAGACAAAACTCTACAACTTCTAACGTTTCCCCGTCGATGGTGAGTGCAGCCAGTCTTGAAAAAGCGCTCTGCACTTTGATGGTGAAAAGTGCATGCCATACTTTGACGCTTCAATCGCCAGGCGGTTCAGTGCAAGTTGGACGGCTTGCGGGCCGTCACCCAACAAGATGATATCATCAGCGTAATACAACTCAACCACCCGACTACCTGGGAGGAGCTCAACACCAGTGTTCAACAAGTCTTCTACAGCATTTTTGAGGACATCTTCAATGGCAAGATTGAAAAGGAATTAAGTGATTGGGCATCCTTGTTGAACTCCACTGGTGACAAGAAAGGAAGGCGAAAGCTTTCCATAAGCCCTAACTCTACTAGAGGTCAGACTATACAGAACACGCAGTACGGAAACGAATTTCCCTCGTATGTCATTCCTCAACAGGCTGCCACAATGCAGCCCTGTCGACAGAATCAAAAGCAGCACGGATATCCAGGAACACAACAATCGTTTTTTCTTGCTACACATGGTGGAGCTCGAGAATCTGGCGAAGTTTGAAAATTTGATCGATGTAACTGCGACCAGGACGGAACCCATCCTGTTCTTCTCGCTGTAGAGATTCAGACGTTGGGGATAACCTGCGAAGTATGTTGGACACCAGAATCTTGCAAACGACGGGAACCAGACGTATGCCTCCGTTATTGGAGCACTTTGTACGCAGACCCTTTTAGAAGATGGGGACTGCTGTATCTACACGTACACTAGTCCCCTGCACGCAGGGTCTTGAACAAGCAAGACCAAAGCCCCGAACGAGGAAGCAGAACTCTACTGGTACGCAACACAAA